CTGGTAGAGGATGACAAAAATGTGGTACCAATGAGGAATTTAACTCTCGGGACTAAGACTATACCTATATATAGTAAAACTTACCAACAATATCTATTCAAAGCAAAATGACCAACACTGGCCTGGGTATGACGATAAACAACATCCACGTCCTGGGTAAGACGATAAACTACGTCCAACAGCAAGGCCTCTGATCAGGAGGTTTTGAGGAGTGTGGAACCACCTCTTAATTGCTGGTGTTCCCAGGTCCACCCTGGCCTGGGGTGGTAGCACCTGTTAGGATCCCAGATATGGGCAAATATTTGACACCCAAACTTGTGTAAAAATAGGTTTTAATACCAGAAAATACTTTGTAATAAAAAAAATATTATCAGCAATAGTTTTTGAAGGAAATACTTAAAAGTATACTTAAAAAATGTACTAGCAATACAAAAGCTATACATTCTTTGAAAAAAATATTACCAGCTATAGATTTCTCCAAGGAAAAATATTCCCAGATATAGATTTTTGAAGAAAAACATTACCAGCAATAAAAAATTTGTCGGCATTAAATAACCCATTGAGTTTGATATTCCGTAAAACAAACGAAACGAAACCAAAATGACCAACAATTCATTTTATAGTAAAATGACCAACAATATATTTCTTATCTAGTTTATGGCAAATGCTTGTGTTCAAAATATATTTAATTGAAGCCATAATATCGGGTCCAGATATTTAGATTTCGGCATTAAATAACCCATAAAGGTTGATATGCCGCAAAAAAAAAATCAGTCAACCAACTAAATGTTTTTGAATTTGTAAGAATTTAGGAAAAAATATGAGTAATCTTGAATTAATTTTATTAGACGTGCATTTTCAATTATTGTATAGCGTTCCTTTGAGCTAAGAGTCAGTAAATGCCCGCCTGTTGACTTTACTATTTGCGAAATGGTGATAAAGTGTTCTGAGATTGTCCATGGAGGCATTTCAAAACCGAAATTTAATATTTGGTAATGTGGTCAGATTTGGGGAAATGAGTCAAAATATGGAGAGATAGGAAAGGGACAGACATTGTCTAGAACCTCAAAAGTTTGTGGAGAACCATGGTTGCCCAATTTCTGAAGAGATACGACACATAGAAGAAGATTAATAAAGTTACTGCATTTAATTCTTGACATAAACTTGTTTTCTAGTACTGATGTGATATAAGGTTGGTTGGTTGATTTTGTTTAGCGGCTTATCAATTTCTATAAGTTATTTAATGCCAAAATCTAAATATTTTTAATTCAATTTTATGCATTTAACTACAGATATTTGTTGAAATTTACCCAAAATGTATCCAAAATGGGGGAGGATTTTTTGGTGGTAGTGGGCCAGCCAATATGAGCTGACTCGTTTTATACTTCACCAATAGAAGGGTTAACCAATCAGAAGGCTCAAAATATTCAATGCGACGTGTATAAAGGCGGCCATGTTCTTTTCCCAAATACTCACGGCCAGCCTTTGATATCGAAGACTGAAGAATTACGGAACAGCTGCTGGTGGTATTGGCGATATAGTCAGATTAAATAGAGTGTCTGACTCGAAATTATTAACCTTTAACGTTGTTTCATTGGACAGATTACGTACTGCGCTGTATTCTATATTCATAGACTATGGTGGACATGGTTAACAATATTTTGCACATAACTTTATACTTTCAGGGTAAAGATATGTTTTTAGATATATAGTTTGTAGATTATAAAGTGTATGGTTGGTAATTTATCTTTTTTTAAATAATTGCTGGTAATTTCAAAATGCATTGTTGGTAATTTAAAAAAATATCTTTTCTTATTTTTTTAAGGTATTGTTGATAATTTTATAATAAAAACGTATACATTTAAAATGAGAATGAATTGTTGTTAATTTCACTATTAAAACGTACTTTTGTATGTTGTTTGGGCGTATACTATTTGCTCATGGCTGGGACCCTAGCAGGTACTACTACCCCGGGTCATGGTGGACGTAGGAACAACAGCAATTAAGAGGGATGTCCACGCTCTTCAAAACCGCCAATCTCTTGATCAGAGGTATTGCTGCCGGGCGTAGTTTATCGTCATACTCAGGACGATTACTTAAGGAAAATTAAAAATTTGAAAATATGTATTTCTTCAAACATAATTTATTTCAAATCATTCGAATAATCACAGGTGATAATGAATGCATTAGAAGAGGTGAGAAGAATGTGGGTAAGGTACTTAAAGGGTTTCGATTGTTTTAATTAATAGCAGAAGAGGCGAAGAGACAACGAGAGTTTGTAAAAAGGTAAGGCTTAGGGAGGTTACAGAGGCTTGATTCCCCACGTCTTGAAAGGACATGGCATATGAAATGTGTACAATTTGTTGGTGTCGTTTATGCTTTGGCCTTCAATGTACATAAATTTCGAAAAAAAAAAATGAGCTTCAAAAGATGCGCATAAGTTTTAAGAATTGACATTCCAGTAGAAGAATTTGTTAAGTCATGAAACAGCGAATATAATCCCATTGCTTTCTTTCTTATTCTACAATACTGAGTTAACGCCCTACAACAACAACAACAACAATGACTACTACTACTACTACTACTACTACAGAGTACTAAGTAAAAAAAGCGGCAATTTTTTTCTCCAAGAAAATACATGAATTCTAATTGGGTTCTAGGGCAGATGTGTACTAGACATTTGCATACCAGACAAATACGTCCCTGGACACTTGTGTCCCTAGATCCAATATGCTCCTGGATAATTGCGTACCTCATACTTTTTTTGAAGCTTTTAAAAGCAATTACCATAAATATTTTTAAAATAAGCATAGCTAGTATTCATATTTAAAAAAAAAAGAGTAAAAAGAATAAAATTAAAAAAATTAAAAAGTTTATTTTTATTTAAAATGCAATTACAGATTAACAGTGTTGCAAGATCGCTCTACACATCGTCAACATGTTTTTGTTTCATCGGCATTTTTCTTTTGATAGTGGGAGCTGTAATTTTCTTCGTCTACAAATATTTTTCCACCAGTGTTTGATTTTCGGAACTTAGCCATAGTTTCCAAATAAAATTATAATCTATAAAACCCAAGTGTTTATGGTACGCACTGCTGGAGTGAACTGAAACGGCTAGCTTAATTTTCTCTTGGTTTAAATAGGAATTTTTTCACAATTTTTTTTTCTTTATGCTCACTACCTTTCTTCTTGTTTAGAGTAATTAAAGGCATTGGTGTTCAAATTTCTATATTAAAGAACACCTTTTTTTTTTCAAAATTTATGTTAACTAACTTTTCGCTTGTTTAGTATAATTAAAATTTTGTTAAGAAAAGAAAATATGATAACTTCAAAAAGTTATTAACTGTACGGAATTATCCAAGTACGCAATTGCCAGGTACGCAATTGCCAGGTACGCAGATATCCAGTACGCAACTGTTCGCCCACCCTCTAATTGGTCTATCACAGTGGCCCTCTAAAAACTCAAATCTCAATGTTATGATTTACTCTATCTGGAATATACTCCTAACTCACTTACAAAACCGTCGCCATGACATCGTGGAACTTAACTGAGGCTTGGAATGAAATTCCTTTTGACACAATCCGCAAAACTACTACCCCCTGGTTATCACACTTGCAACTTTGTATTGAGCATTCAGGCAAACATTTCGAACATCTACGATGATTATTCAATTGTTGCATGAATCCTGATAGCTAAATTATGAAGTACCGCTAATTTACTGAGCACCTTGTAATACAACTTTTGATTCGACTGATTTTCCGTCTTGAGAGAGTCGAGTTACCTTCGCGAAGATGATATTATTGAGATAACACATTGATTTCTCCATGGTGACTTTATTGCAACACTACCTCTCGTTTGTCCACCCATTGGTAGAGCTCATTTTTCATCATAATGGGTTGCTTACTACCCTCCTCACACAATATGAAAAGTGGTGGCGAAGCCTGATTCAATTATTTGGATAGTGTAACAAAAGTTTGACTGAAACTGTGATACGGAAACCGGAAATGACTCGGGAATAACCAAAGATGTGTTTTCCAGAAATTCGATAGAGTATTAAGAAATAGAAATATTACGTTAGAAACGAAGAAAAAAGAATGCTGAACTGCTATGTAATATCTAATCACTTATATAGTAGTGAATGGCTTACGGCCGCAACACTTTGAAACACCAGTTCTTGTACGATCACCGAAGTTAAGCAACGGCCATTCTGATCAGAACCTAGATGGGCAACCGCTAGGAATATCAGGTACTGTAAACTTGGATGTACGTATGATGTAATGGTTTTGGAAATCAGAGAGCCGAGTTACTGTTTCAGTCGGGTTTGTTATATTTATTTCGCTGCAATTACGCTTTGAAAGGTATGACTCCACCTCTTCTGCCTCCAGCTGTGGGTTAATTAACAAGACTTGTATATTTTCTCAAAAAATGTTTATAAACTAAAAATATTTAAATAACTTGTACTGTGTTAATAAGGCATAGAAAACGAATTTAAAAAAAATGTGTATATTTATAGATAAGAGTAGGACACTCGTATCGGAGTCTAGACAATTCCTGTTGCAGACGCCTGCTCAGGTACATTTGTGTTTTTTCAACACCTACAGTGACCACCTGCGGTTTATACTCCAACTATAATGAGCGGACCTTAGTTATAGTTTCTCGGAGAGTGTGCACTATCTAGTGTGATGAACAGTTTTAATAACACCAGCACACTCAAACCCTCGGTCACGATGACATGTGACTTCGTGCTAGCACAACCACCGACGGCTTCCAAAGATTTCTGTCAACCCAATTTCACTCACAAGGCTTGGTTCAACCCATGCTATGGTTTTCAGGCGTTTCCCAATGATTCCGCATGCTAGGATCTACTCCTTCAGACCAGTGACTTCAAGAAATCACCTTACTTACAAATCAACCATGGTTAGATTCGAACCCGGGTATCATGGTCAGAACACAAACGTTCAGCTACGTGCCACACACACATACTCACTCACACACACACATAGATAGATAGATAGATAGATAGATAGATAGATAGATAGATATTATTTGAAAAATATTTTACATCACTACACAAAAGTTTTCATGTTTCGGAACTGAAAATCATCCCAGTTCATCAAGCGATGTTTGGTAACTTATGATGAAAACGATTTACTTTTGAAAACAGAAAACAATACAGTAGTTTATTTACAATTTAAAGAAGGAAAAGAGGATATGATTTCAAAGATTTATGGGTATGTCTAGATTAACCAATAACAAACAGGTCATTTCTGAAGAAGAAAATTGAGAAATATAGACTATGTAGCGATATAAAGTATTTTTCAAATAAAAAAATGATTAAACTACATTTTGCTCTACGTTATACTGAGCACCTTATTTTAAAAAAGTAATTGCTAAAGAATGGTACGTTTTTAATCTGTCTGTTCTTTCCCTTAGGTCTAATTTAAATACACATGGACACCTGCCAAAATCTATTCATTAGCAATAAAAAATGTAATAGTCTCATCCACCTGTAGAAAATTATTAATAAAGAAAAATAAAGTAAAGCCAGACACTAAATAATATCAACTATGAACACGGGCATAATGTGCTGACTGTGTTTGGAAAATAAAATATTTCTATAAGTTTAGATAAATACCAAAGACTATCCATCCATTCAGTAAAAAGTAAAAATAAAACTGATTCTTGATGATGGCTAAAAGTATAGCCGAAAGCGCTCGTACGTATAAAACATTTGAAAGTTTTCTACATAATTTACATTCAAAAACAAAGAAATTTATAAAAACCCATGAAAATTAAAAAAAACCTTAACAGTACCTTGTCTTTTGTATATATATATATATATATATATATATATATAGTGTTTACTTCAATGTTCATATATATATATATATATATATATATATATATATATATATATATATATATAAAATAAAAAGAACATTGAAGTCAACACTCAGAGGCGACAGGCTGTTTCATGCTAGACGCAATCAACCTGACCAATGCATCTAGCATGAAACAGTCTGTCGTCTCTGAGTGTTGACTTCAATGTTCACTTTTATATTTATATTTACATACGCTCTATCTCTGATATTGAGCACTTTATCCCACAAATATAGCACACTTTAAAACTATATTTCTTCACACGCATATATATATATATATATATAAGTAATTAGTCATACAAAGAATAAATCGAGTGGTTAGTATATTAATGCATTATTTAATCTGTTAGCGAAGTGATTTCGCCATTAATTACATTAACTTTACTGATTTATTCTTTGTATGACTAATTCTTTATAATATTAATTATACTGTGCTATATATATATATATATATATATATATATATATATATACTCCATTATTATTCCATTTGAATATTGTTGATTCTTTTCAAAATAATCTGTATCATTCACAATTTTCTTTATTACTCGTATTTTGTTAATCGTTACATTCCAACTTATTATTGTTACTTTTTATTACGCTGTGCCAATGCATATAATTTAGTTTAACAAAAAAGTATCCCTTTAGAATATAAGTTTAACATAAAAGTTTATTTTCTTTATTTTCAGATCATAATGCTTCTAACTGGTCAACAGTTAATCACTTCAGTCACGAGCCAATTACCTTAACCTAGCTTCCAAGAAAATCTCCAACGTTTTAGATTAAACATAATAAGCTTTCTTTTGTTTTCTCTGCCGCGAATCATGTCGGCATCTTCAGAATCTAACGCTTTGATTTTTGACAAATGCAACGAAATTAACCAGTCTTGCATGTTTTCGTGTCTTGCAGCTGTTTTCTTCCTGCAACTGCTGTCTTGGCAATAAGGATTTTTTTATTCTATTTCCCGCCATTTAATGCGACAGCCGAGTAAGCAAAAAATGGCGGGGCCGATTTTCTGCCCGTAGCAGAAGTACTTTGTTAACAAAGGGCCGACATAAAATTCTGCTGAAACGAATATGGAACTCTGGATTGGATAAAGCGGAGACGTAGGAACAAAAGTCCACGGCAGAAATAGAAACTGACTAAAATCCAAGCAACATAATGGCGTTCTCACTTGGAAACGCGTTTGGATGACTTTATAAAGAAGGCCAACATGTCAGCCAGTCTCTATATAACTCTTTTCCCTTATCTACCTCAATTTGCTCATATCAACCAAACTACACTCTACTTACGTACCTACCTATGTCGATAAAGATATTGGTTTAGCTTAATCAAGTTTGACAGACCGTTACAACGAAATTGTTTTACTATTATTAAAAAAAATTAGAGGTCTATCTCTCGCTTTCTCTCTCTCTCTCACTCTCTCTCTCTCTCTCTATATATATATATATATATATATATATCCGCTACATATATATACACACACACACACACACACATACATACATACATGTATATATATATATATATATATATATATATATATATATATGTGTGTGTGTGTGTGTGTGTGTGTGTGTGTGTGAAAATATATAGAAAATAGGAAAGAACTCTTATGTAGCGTGTTGGAATCATATTTTTAAATAAATAATTATATATATATATATATATATATATATATATATATATATATGAGGCTGCTGAATAGTTGTCTATTGTGAAATCGGAGAGCCGAGTTCGAATTCCAGTCGAATCCATTACATTCACTTACGTGCTAAAACCCTTGAGAAAGGTATGAATCCTCTTCTTCTCCCACCAGCTATGGGTAAATAGCAAGATAGACCGGGTTCTATAACCTATAGAAAACTATAGCAACTGGGCTACCGCCGAAAGAAATGGCAACCTACTGTGGAAAAAATCTGCCTTATCAGTCACGTATCGAAAGATACATAATCGTCTAAGTGTGTATCACGCAAGGCACATAACTGACTAATAGGTAGATTATTCACTGTTACTCTCTCTTACATTCATTTTGTTCTATGAGTGTCAAATTCTCCAAGCCCTCTTTCTTCATTATATGCACTAGAAATGTCAACTGTCTCTTTCTGATAATAAGCACTGAGTATAATTTCCGTTTCCTTTCTCTTTAAAACTTTCTCGTTGGTCACATGGTCTGCCCGCGATATTCTCAGCATTCTTCTGTAGAGCCTCTTGTGCGTCGCCTCATGTTTCCGTACTTACGTTTTACGTACGTTGTACGTATTATTGCTCTTGTTGGTAAAAAATGTGCATTCTGTCTTCTTACAGATGAATGCTAACATTTTCTACTTATTTTTCTTCGCTAGCTTGTCTGATATTTCCTTCCGTTTTTCTACCGGAATCTGAGAAATGTAAATGTTTGAGAAATGTGAAGAAACGACACCTGTACTTGGACTCAGAAAAAGACAGTTGAAGAAAGAGGCTTGGCGAATTTTACCCTACCGAACAATCATGCGTAAATGGATGCCAGAACAGGGGTCTAGAGGGATAGCAAAAAGGAAGATATTGCTTAGGGCTACAAATGATAGGAATATGTGGAGAGCCATGATTACCCATTACCTGAAATAACATATAAAGAGGTATCGTAACAGAATAAAGTGTAATACTGGAAAACGTAGGCGAATCGGAATAGCGAAAGAACCTTTTCCGAAACGAAGCAAAGTATAAATAGATCGGAAAAAGCAGTGAGAAACAAAGAAAAGAGTGCTAGAATACCAAGTAATATCCAGTCTCCTATAGTGAATGCTGGACAGTTTCCAGATAGGAAGAAGTATTAGGTTGGTGCAAAAATAATGTCGTTTTTGACGTTCAACTTAACGTCAAAAAACGACATTATTTTTGCACCAACCTAATAACTTGTTTAAGAAAGATGCGAACTTACAGACGAATATTAAGAATACCATAGACAGTGCATGCTATAAATAAAGACGTTCAAAAGGGAACAGGAACTGCAAAGAAATGGTTGAGAACAAAAATAAAAAAGACAGCTTGGGAAAAATAATGAGGAAAAAGGATTGGAGAAATGAACACTCACGGGACATACTGAAAGAAATAGAAATTGAAATATTCGAACGAGTTTATGGCTATACAACTACGTTAAAAATGGCATGACTGTATAACTACGATAAAACGTCATGGCTGTACATCTACGATAGAAAAAATGTCATGGCTGTACAACTACGATTAAAAAATGTCATGGCTGTACATCTACGATAGAAAAAATGCCATGGATGTACAACTACGAAAAAAAATGTCATGGCTGTACATCTACGATATAAAAAATGTCATGGCTGTACATCTACGATAGAAAAAAATGTCATGGCTCTACATCTACGATATAAAAAATGCCATGGCTGTACAACTACGATAAAAAAATGTCATGGATGTACATCTACGATATAAAAAATGTAATGGATGTATATCTACGATAGAAAAAAATGTCATGGCTGTACATCTACGATAGAAAAAATCCCATGGCTGTACAACTACGATTAAAAAATGTCATGGCTGTACATCTACGATAGAAAAATGTCATGGATGTACATCTACGATATAAAAAATGTCATGGCTGTACATCTACGATAGAAAAAATGCCATGGCTGTACAACTACGATAAAAAAATGTCATGGATGTACATCTACGATATAAAAAATGTCATGGCTGTACATCTACGATAGAAAAAATGCCATGAATGTACAACTACGATAAAAAATGTCATGGCTGTACATCTATGATATAAAAAATGTCATGGCTGTACATCTACGATATAAAAAATGCCATGGATGTACAACTACGATATAAAATTGTCATGGCTGTACAACTACGATAAAAAAATGTCATGGCTGTACAACTACGATAAAAAAAATGCCATGCCTGTACATCTACGATAAAAAAATGTCATGGCTGTACAACTGCAATATAAAAAAAATCCCATGGCTGTACAACTACGATAAAAAAAATGCCATGGCTGTACATCTACAATAAAAAAAATACTCGTAAAGAAATAATTATTAAAAGTATAAAAATGATAGGATGGCGCGGAGAGCAATAATCGCTGACTTCCTGAAAAGACATGACAAAAAGAGATAGACAGAGAACTACTATGTAATTGCAGAGTAGCTCGTCTATATGCGTCGACGAAACATCATCTGATACTGCTGTCAGCAGCTGAAAGCGGCAACTCGGAACACTGACCGTGAAACGTGTCTCGACACGAGCAGAGGCCGCGAAAATCTGTAATACTTCATGCGTGCTATTATTATACTTGACCACAGGAAGTAGGCATCGACACAACGGAAGTAAACGCTTATCCATCAATATCCATGGCGGTGACAAGGCAGCAGTTCTTGCAAGTATCATTTGCATGTTTCTCTGTGAGAAACCTGGACGGCTTGAAATAGACTGGACAAAAATACAGTGGGAGAGAAAAACAGGAGACGGGAAATGGAAAGAAACATTGAGATTGACATAAGACTCGACGGATATTTGTGTTGGTGATAGGCAAGTATTTGTATCGACTGGGCTTTGATTTATTTTAGAAATACATGAAAATATTACTTGGTATGTTCGGGGTTGGTAAAGGATTATGTAGCGTCAGTCCAACGGAAGATGTGGTGATGTCCGCCAACGTCAGGATCTGAAATCTTCAATTTCACATAAACTTGAATATGATTCCTGAAAATCCTCGATGGAGAATTTAGGAGACATCTTCAAGAACAGTATATATATATATATATATATATATATATATATATATATATGTGTGTATGTGTGTGTGTGTGTGTGTGTGTGTGTGTGTGTGTGTGTTTAGTACTTAGTGAAAAGCGCTCAATATCAGTGATATAGCTAACATATTCAGTTGTAAGGATGTGAGGCTTTGACCTTTGGTTTCACGCTTTTGATATTCAAATAGGATGATTGCAAAAGCGTGAAACCCAAACCACAAACTCACAACTATGCAGCTAAATATATATATATATATATATATATATATATATATATATATATATATATAATCCCATAAGTTCTGTCCGAATTTTAACTTTTTGTTAAAATGAACGAAATTTAAAGAGTGTTATCTAATGTCTAATAGAGCTGAACATTTTTTTAAATTCAGAGGTGGAGATTTCACCCTTGAAGATGAAGATCGAACTGGACGTTGATGTTGAGTTTGATGAAAAGCTTCTTGAAGTAGCCCTTGAAGAAAATCCTGCTTTATCAGTTGAGGAATTGGCAGTGGTTCTTAGTTCAAATGGTACAACTGTTCATTGTCATCTTCAACAACTTGGAAAAGTTCCTAAATTTGGAAAATTGGTGCCTCATGAATTGTCAGTAAATAACTTCAAATTCTGAGTTGACATCTGCTCTTCTCTCCATTGTCGCCAACTTGTTTCACCATTTCTGGATAGACTTGTGACTGGCGACGAAAAATGGATCTTTTATCGAAATGTTAAGTGTCGTAGACAGTGGCTTGGTAAAGGGGAAGGACCCCAGCCACAGCTGAGAAGGGAACTTCATGGGCAAAAGGTTCTTCTTTCAATCTGGTGAGATCGCCAAGGAATAATCCACTTTGAATTGTTACCACCTAATGTAACAATTAATGCTCAAATATACTGTCAGCAATTAGAGCGTTTGAACCAAGCTTTGAGGAAAAAAAGACCTGTTCTAGTGAATCGAAAAGAGGTGATGTTTCACACAGCAAGAATCACGTCACAAAACATCGAAGAACTCGGTTGGGAGAAAATTCCTTATTCACCTTATTCTCCCGATCTTGGTCCTTCAGACTACCATTTGTTTCGTAGCTTACAGAATCATTTGGAAGAAACAGCTTTTGTAACACAGGAAGAGGTTAAAACTGACATTTGTGAGTTCTTCGAATCAAAGCCAAAAGAAGTTTACTGTAATTGGAAATAGTAAGCTTGTTAATAGATGGAAGGAAGTCATAGATAATCAGGGAAAATACATTGTTAATTGAATCTGTAATTAAATGTAACATTTGGTCACCTGTTTTTTTTATTCAAAATTCGGACAGAACTTATGGGATGACCTGATATATACAGGTAAGATGAAAACAAATGAAGTATGATTCCACTGTCCGTAACATTTAATTTAAAAGAGGGCTCAATACAAAGTAGATCTATATATTATTTATTATAGGAGATTAAAACACTTACATTATATATAGATTTATATATACAAGCTGATGGAAAGATCACGTAGCATAAGGATAATTTATTAAAAGTATAATTGCACATGAAAACTTTACTTACTTGTTATTTAATTGCTATATGTGCTGTTCAAAATGTCCTCCTTTTTGAAAACACATTTCAGTTCTATGGCAGCATGTTTCATTAACACGTCGGAGAGTTTTTTTTTCTGTCATTTTACTGAAATCATTTAATTCTTTCTTTAATTACTCAATATTTCTTGGGTGCCTTCATCCACTGTGCCATGTGTCCTTAAGGATAAAGGCGTTGGTTAGATACAGTGACAGGACCCAAAGAGTTGTGAGTTCAATACCTGGCTAAGGCAGTGGAGAACTTGGAGAGGTGAATTAACAGGCGATAACTGATAATTGACATCCATTAGACATGGCACGTGTAACTAGAACAGTCTACCCCAGGGAGCGAAATAAAGGGTTCAGTTCGACATTCCAACAACCTGAAGAAGGTCGGAGTGTACAACGGCCGAAACGTTGTGATAAGTATGGCAACAATGATGAGGACAATAGTCTGAATAATGTAAATAGTGTATTAAATTGTATATGATCAAATAATCATCTCAAAATTATATAGAAAATTGTTGAAATGTGCTATGAACCACCCATGATAAACATATATCAAGACATTCTAACATTGAATATAAAGGCTCCAGATATACGCTAAAGATGTTCTTTGTCGTAGTTGGTTAAACATCTGTTAATGTCATTTAGTGTTAGTGAGTTCAATTTCAGGCTCCAATAGGGAAACATTTGTTCAGAAGGAACGGATATCTTGCAGCAATGGAATAAAATAACGCAATAATCAAGGGATATTTAAACCAAACAATGAACACCTGATGATGGCCGCAGGGTACTTGGCTGAAACTTTGTGTCTATAATAAAATCTATACTAATCAAAATTAGAAAAACGTTTTCGCAATAATTAAAGTGTATGGTGAGCTTAATTGTTCAGTTTTTTAGAAGCACCCACGTAGATGATTTGATTATTGTAGTGAAAGCTTTTTGGAAGAACTGATAGCAGAGTACTTGTGCACAATGAGCCAAGAAAGCTCCAAAGAACAGCACTCGGGCTGTCCTTGATTTGGTTACCAACGGCTGCCCTAAAGCCCAATCTGTTCTGCGATTTAAACCATAATTGGAAGGCGAGCATTGATTAGTTTTCTACGGCTTATCAACCCTTTGCAGGTTATTTAAAGCCAAAAAATATTTTTGGATTGTAAGATTTTTTTAAGCTAATATTGTTTTATTGATACTAGTTTTGCTAAATAACCCATAGCTAGGGAGAGATGACTTGGCTTTATATCTAATCAGAAGTTGATAAACAAACAAGAAATTGTAATATGGATAAGTGGGGGATCAATTCTATATTGCAATTAATATATAAACTGATCCAAATCTTTGTGGCCACGATGCATTTATATTCCAGAGAATGTAAAAAATAAATAAATATATATATATATATATATATATATATATAAAACATGTCTATGTAGCTAATCAATATTTGAATGATTGATTGATTCGTTTTCTACAGCTTATCTAAAGTTTGCAGGTTATTTAAAGCTAGAAAATATTTTTAGATTATAAGAATTTTTTTAGATAGTAATCGTTTGCTGATACACGTCTTACTAATTAACCCATAGCTGGGGAACAAGAGGTGGATACGTAACAATCTCAAGAGTATTTGTGCGTAAGTGAATATAACAAATCCAACTAGAAATGGAACTCGGCTCTCCGATTAACAATTCCGAGCCATTATCCATAAATTCAGCTGTCCATCTAAGTTGACAGCATCTTGCATACCAAAGTGGACAACCATCTAGATACTAACCGGGCTGGACATTAATTAACTTCAGTGATCCTACAGGAACCGGTGCTTCAACGTGATGTGGCTGCAAGCCTGCGAGGACTGATATAATTCCCAAGGTTATTTAGTATACGCTGTGGTATAATCGATATGCGGCTCGGGATAAACAACATTTTTAAAAAAAGAGCAGAGTTCAAATTCTAGTTGGGTTCGTTACATTCTCTTTGTTGCGTAGAAAATGACTTAGCTTCTCTAAACTTCTTATTGAAACATAGACTCGCCCAGCTATGAACGTCTACCCATGGACAGGGGAAACAAATGAATTGTAAAGGCGTAGCTTGACGCACTGAACTACTGTATTTCCAATCCATGTTCTCATGTGATTAAACTGTTCTTCGCTCAAACTTTTGATCCAGTGTTTTCCTTACTAATTAGAAGCGTTATACGAACTTTATACCACTCTTACGCACATTACATTTGAGAAAGGTATGTATGCATCTCTTCCTCTCTTGGCAAGTATGGGTAAATAACACGGCAGACTGGTTCCTATATCTGGGTTGTCAACCAGTCTAGGAAAAGGAAAACTCTGAATTCAAACCAACCTGGAGAGGATTTGGATCTGTTAGGCTATCTAGCGCAAGACATACCACTTCTGATAGAGCAGCGGCGTGTCTTGTATATGTGGTGCCATTAAAACTCTTAGAGATTACGGGATTCATAATCGTGACTATGAACGTGAAGTTTTGTGTGTGAAAGTGAGCGCAACGACTTCGGACAGAATTAGACCTCTGCATGCTGGTACTACTTTCCACGGCGACAGCCACTATGTTGTACGTGTAGGTAAATAAGGAGATAGAAACATAGGAAGGATTAAGAGTTTGATATCTTGGTTGATAAACTATTGTAACCTAGAAAGGATTACTGAATGAGAAATAACCAAAACGAGGATTGGAAAACAAATGGTAATCTTTATAACTTCAACAAAATACAATACTCGCCAGCGGCGTGAAGTAGGTAAACCACTGCTAGTGGTGGACTACTTAGACAGCATATTAACTCCACTTACAAAATTTCCCAACATATTTATGAGGATTGGGTCATAACCATTAGTGTTCATAGGTACGGTATATAACAATATATATTAAGAAATGGACAAAGTCCGACAATTTATTTATTAAAGACATTTTTATGTTTAACGTTCTTTTTTATAGATACAAGTATTTAAGTAAATGCTCTGTTTATAATAAACAGTATTAAATAACATTTACCGGCCTGAATGTCCGAGAAATTTTCATAGAAAATATTCGTCCTTTGAATGATTCGTTCTACATCCCTATACGGAACCGTCATTTTCGAATCGTGTTACCGATACGGTTCGAATCCTTTATTTTCTATGAAAATTTCTCGCCATTCAGGCCGGTAAATGTTATTTAATACTGTTTATGATAAACAGAGCATTTACTTAAATACTTGTATCTATAAAAAAGAACGTTAAACATAAAAATGTTTTTAATAAATATAACAGTATATAAAAATGATCCAAGTTTGTACAAGATTCATATAAGAACCAGAAAGAGTGAAGATTCAAAAGGATAAGGTAGAGAAAGAGAAGATACAGGAAAAACCTACGAAAAGAATTGAGTATTGAGCTAATGGATAATCTTACGAAAGAAAAAGGGAGAGAAAAAGAAAAAAAAAGAGAGTATTGTAATCTAGAAAGGGTTACTGAATGAGGAATAACCAAAACGGAGGTTGGAAATGAAATGGTAATCTTTATAACATCAACAAAATACAATACTCGCCAGCGGCGTGAAGTAGGTAAACCACTGCTAGTGGTGGACTACTTAGACAGCATATTACGATATTTATCTGCCTCCCCACGAGGTAAGATGCTGTAAAAGCCCAAATTTAATGCGGGGAAATCCGAACCCGTGGGCTCGGGCAAAAATTTCCCATAGACGCCGAACACACGCGATCGGGTGTTTTCCTCCCCGGACGAGACTCTGCCCTTCGGCATAACCTCATCCGGGTTCCCCTCTGCCCGAAGGTAGAAAGTTCAACACGGCAAGAGCTGCCCACGCTGACGGCTCACGCTGACAGCATATTTATTTTTATTGTATACTAGCAGTAGAGCCCGGCGTTGCCCGGGGATGTAACAGTAAGAGATAGATCAAGTATCGACCATCATAAAGACTGAAAAATAAGATTGACAAAGATTATTGTTTAAGGCTGACGGACACGCATGTCTTAATTAGTTTTTTTTTTTTTTTTTTTTTTTTTACGAATTGGTCAAACCAAAACTCAAACAAAAACATTGTTTTCAATCGTTATGAGTCTATCAATTGAATAGAATTTTATTATAAACAATTGTCTTGTAAATGGAATTTTTAAAGCATTCTGAATGTAAAAATTAAAAAAAAAAAGTGTGCAAGACAATAAGAAACACTACCTGCCAAAAAAAGTGAAGTTTTGTTGAAATCGGTTGAAAAATGTAGGAAATCCGATCTCATATATAAACGAACACACACACACACACACACACACACACACACACAACCTGGGTTTTATAATAAGTATTACTCGATATGAGTTGTCCCCTTTCATTCTGGTGACAGAATCATGTTTTATCGTGTTTTCAAATTGATTTTGTGCAAAAACAATTGTGTTTTTCCAATTTTTGGCGCTGTCAGAACCACCGCAAGGAAATTTTACGCAGTCCTGTGAAGTTTTGTTGAAATCGGTTGAAAAATGTAGAAAATCCGATCCAATATATAAACGTACAGACACACACACACACAATCTGCGTTTTATAATAAGTAAGATAAATACAATTATGGCAGAAGGCCGAAAAGGGAGAATGGATTGACTGACTATACCTAGATAGTCTGCGTAGTCAGCATATTATCTCTACTTGAAATAGAGTCCAACCTATTTAGGAGGATCGGGCATACACATTAGTGTTTCTAGGGTCGATATATAACATAAACAAAGACCAATAGGAAATGGACAAAGAGATAAGCGGAAATAGAATCCACATGAAACTGTGACGTAAATATGCGAGAATATGTGTTGCGTGAATGTGTGTCAGTCTCTCACTTTTAGTTTATGTATCTGCGCGCGTGCGTGTGTGTGTGTGTGTAAATACCTGTTTTATTGGAGGTTTTTTTCTGTCCAAAAGGATTGTATCCAGCAGTTTGTGAAATTGCTAGCCCCTGAAAACAGTGATTAATATTCATTCGATACAACGATACAGTCCTTTTCTTTTTT